TGAATACATTTTTATCAATAAAGAATTTGCATCTAATGTTGTTTAACTTTAAAAAAAAAAAAAAGAGAATTTAAAGATATTGAAACAAATTCTAATCAATAAATTCTATCTGATTTTCAAATTGTAATTTCTTAAATAGTTATTCAGATAAGATAATATTTCAATATGTTAGCAAAAATAGCAATAATAGGTTGTTGTTCAAGTATAAAAGAACTATATTTAAAATATAATAAAATTTGATTTCCTTAGGAACAAGAAATAAATAATTGAAATTATGTTTTTCAGCTAATCAATTATTTCAGAAAAATAATATCAATCAAATCTGAAGCTTGAATAATTGAAATAAAATCAATAAAGCTGACTACTAAAACCATTCTTTTCTTGTCTTAATATTAGAAGTCAATCTCTCTCTTCTTTGAAAATGAAGATATACAGTACTCCAATGGATAAGCTGTTAGGTGCTAAAGAATCTTACTGCAAATTTGAGATCAGATGTAAAAAATTTTTCTATTCATTTATTTTTATTGGAATCAGTATTGCTTGTTAAGATCAATCAAGAAATACTATTGCTTTTGCTAGTAATAAACTTCATTGTAAAATTTAATTTTTAGTGTATATTCAAACAATTATATTTTTAAGTTAGTGGAATTCTAGATACATTGAGTATTGACAAGGAAACTGATATATAAAGAATTTGATTTGAATAAAGGCGTAAAGCACCATTAAAAAAAAACATTAACAGTTAAGTAATACAATATAAACAAAATTTTAATGTTCTCCAAATAGAAGTCTGTCAATATTGCGTCAAAATCACGTATTCAATATAACGTCGATCTAGATAACACTTCCTCCTATTCCGGAAGCTTAGATGCCGTTGTTTATATTAATCCAGTATATTACAATTAAAGCAAGTTTTATGAATAAATAAAGCCTCGATTTCTTTCAATAATAATTTATTACACCTTTTAGATAGCTGTTATCGTTCAGCTTCGTTAATCATTCTACATTTTCCAATGAAATCATTTGATCATTCGAAGGGGTGTTCCCCAGATGATTTTTCCTCTTTAAATCAACGTTTCAATAAAAATTTGTTCTTGAATATTAACCGACAAAGCTAAACGGAATCTCTAACGTTATAACAATTAATCAATAATTTACGGCAACTTGACGGAAACCTCGCATCGGTGTCTTCCATTTTCATCGTATGTTCCAACTTTTGCTATATGTACGCTTTCGATTCTACAAGTGCCAAATTCAAAATTTGAAAATTTTTCGAGAATCGGGATAGCAGAGAATGTCAACCATCTCGGTCGTTGATTACTTCTTTCATTCTCTTTAGTGTCCGTTTCACCACGGTGACGTACATTAATAATAGTAGCATGAGGCTGTAATAAAACTAATGTCATTATAGGGTTTAACAAAAAAAAAGAAAGATTGACATAAACCTTTAACGGGCGGTTGTCCTTCTTTAAATAACCTGCTTCGGTAAACTTGGTGATCAAAAATTCTAACGGACAAATAAACAGGTATTAATCGGTGTTTATTACGAAAAATGCTATCAATTATTAAGTATAAAAAATGCTTACCGCTCAACCTGAAAAGAATATTTTGATCTTCTTGTTCTTCCACCTTAGCATATAAGACATTTGTTTTTTCTGAAATTTAAATTAGTTCATCAACTCCTTACAACACCTCGGCCTCGATACATGTATATATACTGTATATACTTACTGGGATCATCTTCCATGACCGCTACTCCTGATAGTTTAATGACCATTGTCTTTGTACCCACAAGATCATGAAGCTCAGGACCCAAATCTTTAAGTAACTTTATGGCATTTTCAAGGTCATTTTGCCGGTGCAAGTTCAACATCCCGATAGTAAGGTGCAGCGAAGTTGGTTTGATCATTATGGATGTTTCGATATTTGGTAGAGAGAGTGACATTACATCTGTCTGGAACGTGTTTACTTTTTGGTGAACTTGTGAATCAGATAGCGGCAGTGAAATAAAATGAGTCGGCGGTAAATACTAAGTAGATCTCAATGAATTAACAAACGAAAGAAATGGCATTGGCAATCAAACTTAAAATTAATAGATTATTATGATGAGAACCATACATTGTCGATCTCTTCTTCAAGACGTGTTTTTGCCATCTCCACGTCCGCCTTTGAACCTTTGATCGCTGGATAAAATTAAGATATTAAGAAAGAATATCAAATTTTCTGTTTTGTTCCCAACAAATAAACCTCATAATTATAATCCCGCATACAGATGCTTTCACTTCTATTGTCTAGGACGATTCGAGTCTTCGTTTCGCGTTGTAATTGTTTTATTTTGGCCCCTCCCTTTCCTGTTTCAAGATGATTCTAATGTTTAGATTATAACCATAAGATCAGGCAATTATTCTTAAAAACTGTCAAAATACCAATGATTTGTCCAAAGATACTGATGGGACATTTTAATTTGATCTCTAAGGTAGACGTCTCAGTTCTCTCATTTTTAACTTCTTTTTCTATCTCTTTCACTTCCTTTTTCATCTCTTTCACTTCCTTTCTCATCTCTTTGACTTCTTTTTTCCTCTCCTTCACTTCCTTTTTCACCTCTTTTACTTCCTGCTTCGCACCCTTAGCTTCTTTTTGCTTCGCACTACCATCATTTACAGCCAGAGCAGCCATTTTTTGTTCAGAAGTTATAGCTATGTAAGAACGTTCTCGAGTTTACTGATCAAGATAATTTCTCCCGAGAATTTTAAAAAATATACACATATACCAGAAGCAATTGATGCCGTGGGAACACGAAATACACGTCTACCACAGTGTACGAGGGTTATGCCTTGCATACACTGCGGTGTAAGAGGTGAATCCTCCGAAATTTCGAGTCTCTTCATTTCCATTCTTTACTACCAAAAAACTCCAGTTTAGTTGCTTGCGGTATATGTACGATCTTGATTACGTCATCGCTTAATCAAACATATTAACAAAAGGTGACACCACACCGTTGATCCATACAACAAATCGTTGAGTCAATTAACGGAACTTGCAAAAGCGTAAGAATAGTGTTCTTGTTGATACTATCATTTTCAGGGTACAGTGCAAAGAGGTCTTCTCTCTTATATATATTTCTGAGGGTCCAATATCATACCACACTTGCTCAAAATCCAACGAAGGAACGATTATAATGCCGAGTGGTTCAGGCGTCAAAATTTATATTGGCAACCTTCCGGATCGAGCCAGGTCGGAAGATATTAAGAATTGCTTTTCGAAGTATGGTACCGTAGTCAATATGGAACTCAAAGGAAACTATGGATTTATAGTAAGTGCTTACCTGTGATGAGCGAGCACGTGTTGACTGTCGAGAAAGCAGCCCACTAGTATTTCATGCATCCAAAGGGTTTCCGATTTCTTCAATTGAAATAAAATGTGCTTTTTGATTTTGCATCGGGAAGAATCCTCAAACAATTTGCAAATGGTTTGGTACTGACGTAAATACAAAATAAAATTAATGAAAGGAATATGAAGAACGCCGAATGTGTGATGAAGCTATCAGTCATCTTCATGGAACCGAATTTCAGGGATCTCAACTCCGTGTTGAATTTGCTCACACCGAAAGAAATGGAAGTTATAACAACAAATTTAGAGAAGGAAAATCCAGCGATACATGTTTCAAATGCGGTCAAGTCGGTCATTGGGCACGAGAATGTTCTAGGTAAGCAACAATGTGGTCATTGGGCTAGCAGCTTTTCTCTCATGGAATCAAAATCAAAACGGGTGTGAGCTACTTCAATCATTTACGGATGTCATGTTGTTAAGCACTATTAAGTCAAGTCGGGCTGTTCAACTTTGAGATTGCTGCGTCCCAGGTCAGCACAGCTCCTTAAGAAATGCTGATGTCTTCAATAATTAATGTCCTTTAGCAACGCTCGAGAATTGGTTTCTCGTAAACCTGGGGGTCGTTACGAAGATAGACGCACTACAGACAGCTATGTTAGGGAACCTTATAATGGCAGAGAAAACAGAGACAAATACGATAGAGACGAAAGATACCCTCCTCCACTGCCTATAGAACGTGGTGGCTATGAACGTCCTTATGATCGCTATGGCAGGGAACCTCCTGAGCTGGAATACAGAAGAGACTATCGTGGCACCTATGATAGACCTTATGATAGAGAAAGAGATAGAGTCTATGATAGAGCTTATCCTGAACGTGACTATGAGCGCTACAGAGAAAATTACGATCGCAATTACTATCCTCCTCCCAGGGAAGGGTATGAAAGAGATGGATATGATCGTAGACCATTACCACCAGATGTTGCACCGTACGCTGCTAGGGGCAGAACAGGTTCTCCACCACCACGTCGTGGCAGCTATGATAGGGGAATAAGGTAGCACGACTTCGTTTGACACATGTTCGATCTTTTATCTAATACCCATATTTATAAATAGGGAAGCACCACCACCACCTACCTATCGTGGTCGCTCCCCACCGCCGCCTTCCCGCTATCCCGAACAAATTATTGGACCACATTCTATGAGACCCATATCTCCACGTACTGGAGGAATTTACAGGTTTGTTCTTCAGAGAAGAAAAAAAAAATCCATTTTATTTTTGGGGGTGAAACTAAATTTTTGATCTTTAAAAACGAAGGCGTCGTTCTATGAGCCCAATGAGAAACAACAGGGCTCCCGTTTCTTATTCTGGACGACAAAGATCACCAAGTCCTATAGGTAGAACAGGGCCACCTAGACGCGGACCAAGAACCCCTTCTCCACCTAGACGCTAAGATGCTGAGAATAGATAAGAAGGAATAATTTTTAATCTGTAGGTCGTTGAGAAGTTCATGCACGTTAGCGCAAGCACCACTGCAATCGAATTGACATTCACGAGACTGAACAACGTTCCAGTACAGGAAGAATGATGACTTGAGATAGTTTAATGGACAGCTCTTTCTGCATACTTGATTTTTCTTATTGTTTATTTTGAATTTATTATTTTGGGTTTTGTTATTTCACTTTTATCGAATGCGTCGCTGGTGCTCTAAATATTTTAGGGATCTGTGGAAAAAAATAAATTAACGTTTAACGTTTTTTGGTTGACAAGTATTTTTGAATACGTGAATCACAATGTGAAATGTGATGTTTTAAATTAACATCTATCTAATTAGATTGCAAACTTGAAATGCAAGAACATACAATAATTTAATATCTTTATTGAAAAAAATATTTTTTATAAATAATGGATAAATAAAATTTTATATATTAAGTGATTTCAGAATCCATTTTTAACATATAAGCAGTATAACAAATAATTAAATATTCAGAAATTAACAATATGAATAAGTATAAAAAAATTGTAAATTGTTTTTTGTTTATTATTTCAAAAAATTAAAAATCGTTTTTTATTCAAGTTCATCTATTTAAAATTATAATTATATTTTTTATTAATAAAATGTAATTTAAAAAATTGATTTTAATAAATTATAATAAAAAATTTTTCTATTGATTTATATATTTCATTTTAATTTAATTTTTCTTTTTAAAAAACTTATAATTCAAAGAATAAATAATTGATAATTAATTTTATATTCAATAATAATTTTAAAATCTATATTTTAATTAATTATTTAAATAATAGAAGAAAACATAATAAAATAGTTTTTTTTTGTTTAATTTTATATTTATTTAAATTCTTTTTTTTTTGTAAGTAAACATTATTTTTTTATTTGATTTTTATATTACAAGTAGGACTTCTAATAATATTACTTTGATATTAGTTTGATATCTAAATTTACTAAAAATTTATATAGGTAAATCCCAATTTATATATTAAATTTACTATAAATCAATATTATTTTGAAATTATTCTGATATCAGTTTAATATTTTTGAAATCCTAATAACAAAACATATATTATAAAGAAAATAATTTCTTTTATATATTAATATAATAAGTTAAATATTAACTTGTTTATAGTAATTACAAGATTGATACTGAAAAAAATTTTTAAAACAATATATCTTATTAAATAATATCAAGTGTTTATAAATATCTATTTAATATTAAGAAAAATAGAATTTGATAGTAATAATATTAGATTATAAATATTTTTAAAATACATAATTATATTTATAATACCTTTTTAAAAAGTATTAACAAATAAGATTTTGATTAATAAAAATAATATGTACAGTATATACAATATATTTGAAAAGATTTGTTAAGTTTGATAATTTGTTGAGATTTTATTTAATTTTAATAAATAGTAAAATATTAATTATATTATAATAAAAATTTCAAATTATATTGTATATACTAGCACGCTAGCCTGGACTATGCTCTGGGATTAAAATAATAAAGTATTTTATATATTAAAATGTATTAAATATAAATTTATTTTATAAAAATTATAATAAATTGTATAAATTGTATTAAATTATATAAAATTATATAATAATATATAAATAATAACTTATTTTTTGAGTTATATTTTAGAATTAAAAATACTATTACATTTTATAATATAAAATAAATTATATTATATTAAAGTATAAATTTAAAAATAATAAAAAAAAAAAACTCTTTCTCCAAAAATTTGTATCGCTTAAAAATTTCCTTTTTTAGTAACTGACAAAATTCAAAGGAGAAGCAAAACAACAAGCGCTTCTGGGAGCTCCTCTCCCAAGGGCAAACCTCAAAACCCCCTCATATCCTTTTGGATATTGTAGTAGCAAACCCAAACGAGCTTCTCTTTTCTATAGTATACAAGGAAAGCATCTCAAATACTATCCAAATCTCTGAACCAGCAAAAAATGTATTCATCCCAACCCTAGCCGACTTTCCCAAGTATTGGATTGTTCCCCTACAAAACCCAACCACCAATAGCAACCCAAACATCACCAACGACCCTCTACCAGTGAACATCGCCTATATTGCCTTCAAACAAGTGTCAACTGGCTTTAACCCTTCACACTCACACACAATGGCAACACTAACCATCAACAACATGAAAAGCAACACCCAAAACAATCTCAATGACTTTTTTCAATATCAGGAGAGGAATAATCTTGCCCAAAGTATAAGAGAGACTATCGCTAGGAAAGTGTTAGACAACAACTTAAATTATACTTTTTACCTGTCCTGGAACCAAGTTAACATAATCAAAAGTGGAAGCAAATTCAGTCTCGACAAAATTCAGAATGCACCAACTCACACCCCATCCAACAGACCTGTTCAGGATGAAGAACTTGAAAACAAAAAACAAACTTCTCAAACAAACTTGGATGGAGAAAAATCCATATCCCAAATCCCCAAAAAAACCCCAAACAGTTTACCCCCATCAAATGATTAGCTTAACACGAGCACCCCAAATATGGCCAAAGTTAGCAGCAATACAAATGCACTCCCTGTAGCACTTGAAAGTGCATACATATTAAGCGTAACAAATGTGATACTACCAAACAACAGCGATCCTCACAACTCAAGTGACATGATGCAAGTGAATGATCACCACCATGCAGTCATTACCAATGACAATCACGAAAAATCAAGAAGCACAATTAGACTTACCAGCCCATGTTCGGACAATAATGTCTCTATGTAATCATTGGATCAAACAAACTCCATAGGCAACATTAGCTCCCTGTTGGAATTTGACCGCCAGGTTCAAGAAGAATTAGCAAATGCACATGGCAACATCCCTATCGCTCACCCAGACCCCAACCCAGACCAGACAAGAAGAGGAAATATATCAGACAAGGCAGAACGGTCAAATGAAGAGCAAAATCTAATTGGAGACCTGATGAACTCCCATGTCTATCTTCTGCAAATGACTCTTCAGAAAGCCTGCGCCTCACAGCACCACCAAGCGCAAAAGAAAATAAAATAACTGAGATTCTTATAAAGAGCAATCCAACCTTCAATCACCCCATAGACGACCTCCCAAACAATCAGACAGTAAACACAAACAATCCTTTCATTAGTGAACATGATATAATCATCAATCTGATATCGCAGCTATCTTCATGCCACACTAATGCCAAAGCAGTGGCAAATTTATTTACTAAAATAAATACCACCCAAAGGGTTCAGTTCAACATGAACCTCATTTTGCAATCTTTACCAAAATCCTTCTAAGGGATAGAACCTTCTTCAGAGCGTTTACCAAGAATGACTTACTTAAAGGAAACCACCAGATCGAATATGAAGCACTAGAAATCAAAGCACATGAAAACTACAAAAAAATCAATTATGTTGGCTATATTAGCAAAAAAATCAAAAGAAAAATCAGATGGATTCTTAACTCAACCTTGTTTGTTGCATGCCTTAGGTTCACAGATCTCAAAAAATTTAGATACTTCGAAATAGCACAGATTCTCGAATTTGGATGCAACTACTTTCTTAAAGACAATGAAAACAGCCTAGATTACATTGAACTGTTGGACTTAATAAAAGAAAACTTATACGAACCACTCCTATCATTGCCAGCCAAACCAGAGTTAATCCCTCCTAATATAAACATCAGGCTCCCATGCCCACTTCCAATCAAGAGAAAATCGTATCTCTCCCCAGTAGTTGCCATACTAAGAACACACTATAAATTTGAACAATTGCCTAACTCATATTTCTTTGACTTCTCTCCCCTCCCGGAAGACCCAGAGCATCTCAACGAAGAGACTAAACACCTCTTTTCAATCACCGAAAGGAAAAATCTCAAAGACTTGACAGCAAGAATTAAAGAACTATCCAAGTTCTATAAAGTTCCTACAAAGCTCCCAAAGATCTACTTCAACTTGCCTCCACCAAAGACATCACTTCCAGCATCATATAAACTGCTTCCAGAGCATCTTGCAACTTACTGTCCGCATGATCCAACCACAATGGATACCAGAGAACTCATAGATATCCTAAGAAAGGAGTACAGCCTTAGAACTTTGCCTTTGGACTACTATAAATTCAAAAGACCACTTCCCCATTCCCCAAACCCATTGCTGGATGAACTCGATATGACTATTCCAACAAAAAACAAAGAAGACGCCATGTGGTTAATCAAGTGCCTAGAGAAGGACTTTAAGTTTAATCTGCCTCTTGGCCCACTGTGGATTGACCCATCCATATCGCAAACCAATAAAGAAAAGCTTCCAATCAAGATTACGGATATAGATAAATCTATTGCACTTGAAGACCACATTAATTATCATTCAGATGATTTCTTGCCAATAGTACGCAAACTATATGAAAGATATGAGTTCTGCACCATACCAGAGGACTGGTTCCAGGCCCCTAAGCCACCTCTTCCCTCAATAGAAGAACTCAATAAAACAGCTGAAGAAAATCTTTCTGAAATCAGATTCCCTCTGAAAGATAACGAAAACCTTTCCTCACTAATTGCCCAACTTCATAAAAAATATATCTTCGATAGATTACCTGAAGAATACATAGCTTCCGAAGATTTGCCAGAGCCTGGCTTTGATCTTGTCTCTTTCATTTGCTAATATGAATACATCAATTGACCATAGTCACTCTTTAACCCCATTACCTACACCTCTTCTTCAAAACAACAACACACCCCCACAAATTAAAAATTTACTCAATATTACTACCCTAAATATTCAAGGCCTAAATAACAGGAGCAAACTCACAGCATTAGTACAAGATCTCAAGAGTGAAAGAACTATCATGTGCTGTTCAGAGACAAAAATCTCAAAAAACAAACACCTCCCAAAAAAACTAAACGGCAAAGTAATAATTGCCAGCAAACCATCAAACTCATCAAAAAATAGCACCT